ATATTGAATAGGAGTGGTGATAGAGGACATCCTTGTCTTGTACCAGATCTAAGAGTAAAAGATTTCAGTTTTTCCCCATTTATAATTATATTAGTCATTGGGTTTTCATAAATGGCTTTTACCAGATTGAAGTAGACACCACCTATTCCAATTTTCTGTAGGATTTTGAACATGAATGAGTGTTGGACTTTGTCAGAAGCCTTTTCTGCATCAATGGAGATGATCGTGTGATTTTTAGTTTTTGCTATATGGATATATTGTATTACATTAATAGATTTTCACATATTGAACCATCCTTGCATCACTGGCATGAATCCAACCTGGTTATGTTGTATGATCTTCCTGATGATTTGATGTATTCTATTTGCTACGATTTTATTGAGGATTTTTGAATCTATGTTCATGAGGGAGATCGCCTGTTGTTCTCTTTCTTAGTTGCGTCTTTCCCTGGTTTTGGAATCAGTATAATACTTGCCTCCAGGAATGATTTTGGGAGAATTGCTTTGTTTTCAATTTCATTGAACAGTTTGAGGAGTATAGGGACTACATCTTCTATAAATTTCTTGTAGAATTCAGCTGTGAATCCTTCCGGGCCTGAACTTTTCTTTGTCGATAGGTTTTTAATTACATCCCGTATTTCACTGGGTATTATTGGGCTATTGAGAGTGGTTATATCTTGTCAATTCAGCTCTGGTAATTTGTACCTTTCTAGGAATCTGTCAATTTCTTCTGTGTCTTCTATTCTGTGAGAGTAAAGATTCTCAAAGTAACTATTGATAATCTTCTGAATTTCCACTGGGTCTGAGGTGATTACCCCCTTTTCATTCCTTATTGCTTGTATTTGAATTTTTCTTTCCTCTTTTTGATGAGGTTAGCTAAGGGCTTATCAATTTTATTTAATCTTTCAAAGAACCAGCTTTTTGTTTCGTTAATTCTTTGAACTGTTTTCTTCATCTCAATTGCATTAATTTCTGCTCTAATCTTTATGATTTCTTCCCATCTTTGGACTCTGGGCTTGGTTTTCTCTTTCTTTTCTAGTTGTTGAAAGTGCAGCGTTAGGATGTTTATTTGTTCCCGTTCTTTTTTCCTAATGTCTGAGTTCACAGCTATGTACTTCCCTCCGAGAACTGCTTTCATTGCATCCCATAAGTTGCAGTACACTCTGCTTGAATTTTCATTGAATTGTAGATATTGTTGCATTTCTTGTTTAATTTCATCTTTGACCCATTGGTTACTGAGTAGGGTGTCATTTAATTTCCATGTATTTAGGGTTCTTTTCTGGTTTCTTTTGTCATTTATTTCCAGTTTCATTGCACTGTGGTCAGATAATGTTCATGGGATAATTTCTGTTTTCTTGCTTATACTTAAACATGATCTATGGACCAGTATGTGGTCTATTTAAAAAATCACCCATGTGCAGCCCAGAAAAATGTGTATTCGCCATGTTTGGGTGGGACACTCTGTATATGTCCACCAAGTCCATTTGTTTCAAGCTCTGGATCAGTTCTGTTATTTCTTTGCTAAGTTTTTGTCTGGTTGACCTATCTTTTGGAGATAAGGGGTTGTTAAGGTCTCCTGTTAAGGTTGTGGTATTGTATATTAGATTTTTCATGTCCATTAAGACTTGCTTTATATAGATGGGTGCTCCCATGTTTGGTGCATACATATTTATGAGTATTATCTCTTCCTCTTGAATTTTTCCCCTAACCAGTATATAGTGGCCTTCTTTATTTCGCTTGATCATTCTTGGTTTGAAGGTGAGACTGTCTGAGAATAAGATTGCTCCCCCTGCTTTTTTCTGAGGTGCTGGGGCGTGTAGTATTGTTTTCCATCCTTTGACTTTCAGCCTATGAATATCTTTATGAGTTAAATGTATTTTTGTATACAGCATATTGTTGGATTTTGTTTCCTAATCCACTGTGCCAGTCTGTTTCTCTTAATTGATGAATTGGGTGTATTTACATTGATGGTTATAATTGAGATGTATTGACTTGCAATTGACATGTTATTTACCTGTTGTCCTTTACTCCTTTTTCTCCTGTGTTTGTTTGCCCTATTTAGTTGGTTGCATCTGGTCTCATTCGCGGAGTTCTGGTCATTTTGGTCCCTCTCTAGAACATCTTTCAGTAGTTTGTGTAGGGTTGGCTTTGTCATCATGGAATTCTTTAGTTGCTCTTTGTCATGGAAGTATTTCACTTCTCCATCAAACTTGAAAGAGAGTTTTGCAGGATATAGTAGTCTAGGCTGAAATTTGTTTTCATAGAGGACTTGAAGTACTTTGCTCCATGCTCTTCTTTCCTTCATGATTTGTGAAGAGAAGTAGGCCGTAATTCTGATGGGTTTTCCTTTGAATATGATCTGCTTCTTTTCTCTAGCTACTTTCAGTATATTATTCTTGTGCTGAATTTCTGGGATCTTGACTGTTATATATCTCAGTTTGTTTTTAATTGGGTTAAGGTTACTTGGAGTTCTGTATGCTTCGGTTACCTGAATGTCAGATTGTTTCCTCATATTTGTGAAGTTTTCTGCTATTCCTTCTGCCCACATTTTTTTAATGTCCTCTGTATTGACTCCTTCTTTCTCATTGATACCTAATTAGTCTCACATTGTTTATTTTTGCATCATCTTGCAAGTGATGTATTATTTTTCCTAAATCCTCGTTGTTTTTAAGAGATCCTTTCTTACCTTTTCACTAGCTACACCAGCATCTTCAAGATCTGAAACTCTGCCTTCACTTTCACTCAAATGATTTTGCAAGCTTGTAATTGATATTTTAAGTTCCTCTATATCTCTTTGACTCTTCTTCATGTGATCTGTTTCTTTCATGTATTGTTCATTCAAGGAATCCGTCATTTTTCTAATCTCTATTTTTTTAATCAATGTCTTCTTTAGAAGCAGGTATTCTTTTACAGAAGTGTTTTCTTCAGATTTGGTTTAGTCCCTATGTTTCTGTAGTTGATTCTTTACTTCAGATGCTATGAGTTCAAAGAATTCTTTTTTTATTTCAGAAAATAATTCCGCTCTGAGTTCCTCTATAACTTTCTGCTGTTGCCTATTTACTATCGATGCTATTAATTCATACATTTGAGCTGAGCTAGTAGAAAAGAATTCAGCTCTGAGTTCCTCTTTGACTTTCTGCTGTTGCTTATTTACTATCGACGCTATTAATTCATACTTTTCAGCTGAGCTAGTGTTATCTGCATTTTTTCTGGGCAGGCACTGGGCAAACATCTTCCATATGTTTCTACATTTGATTCTCTACTGCAGATGCTATTAATTCAGGGATTTCTTTTTTCATTTCCAATCTGAGTTCCTTTATACCCTTCTGTAGTTGTTTCTTTATTTCAGAAGCTGTTGATTCATTGATTTCAGCTGTGTGATTCCCAGTTTGTTCTGTGCTAGTGTCCTCTGCACTTTTTATGGGTGAGCTTGGCTTCTGAGATTGCATTTTGCTCCTTCTCATTGTCATTCTTGTGTAGCACTGTCTTCTGAACTTTGTTGTAGTTATAACCTTAGCACTTACTGAAATTCAGGTGGAGATCTACAAAGTTTGGATTTATCCTGCTGTGCCTGGCTTGGGTCTGGCTGCTGTGCTCAGTCCTTCCTACTGCCACCCTTGGGAGTGACCCTGTTGTTCCCCTCTGGCAAGATGTTCTGCTCCTGGACTAGCTGGGTTTCTTTGTCCCCTACACTCGCTGCAGGGATTGCAGCTGCAGGGTCTCCCCCCAGTACTATATGCCAGGCCTGAGCTGAGTCTGGAGGGTACAAGGTGGAGTAGCAGGGAGAGGAACTCTCCCACACACTCACCGGGCCTGGACTAGGGCTGGATCTCGGGGTCCCCAGAACGGGGCAGAAATTCTCACTGGGCATGTGGGTGGGGGTGCTTCAGAGTGGTGTGGGGGCCCCAAGGGGGTGGAAGATTGTCTCACCTACGCTGTGCCTGGGCTGGGACCGGCAGGTCTGGCAGACACAGGATAACAAGAAGCTCTCCCACACACTCACTGGGCCTGGGCTAGGACTGGATCTGGGGGTCCCCAGAATGCTGCAGATATTCTTACTCAGTGGGGGAGTAGGGGTGTGCTGTGGAGTGGTGCTAAGGGTTCCAAAGGGGTGGAAGATTGTCTTACCCATGCTGTGTCTGGGCTGGAACCAGCAGGTCCAGCCGGCGCAGGGTAGCAGGAAGCTCTCCCACACTCACTGCACCTGGGCTAGGACTGGATCTGGGGGTCCCCAGAGCACAGCAGAAATTGGGTGGGCAGGGTGGAGGGATGTAAATGTCTTTTAGTTAATTTTGCCTTGATTTTATAATTGTTACGTAAGGAGAGTGACTACTCTTCCACATACACTATTGCACTGTTCTTTACATACTTAACAAATATTGAGACACTTGAAAATAAGAGATAAAAATGTATTTTGAGGTACATGGATAATATTTTAGTGCCTGCTGTTAATTTTTAGCACTTGGAATACTTTTCAGATATGTATATCTTACTTTAGTATATACTTTTTATTTCTCTAGATATCCAAATTCTTAGTCATACTCTGTAGTTTAATGTAAGCCTTCTGACGATGAAGACCATTGCTTCTGTAAAATTGTTGGGGCAGGACACAAAATAGACCTTTTGTAAGTTACTCTAATTAAAATAGAAGTAAGAATAAAAGCAGTTCTAAGAAAAAAAAATAAGTTCTTACTGTCATGAGTTACATTTCCATTGATTGCATTTTAATATCTTTTTATAATCTGTATCCCCTACTGTTCTCTCTACAGTTAATTCACTTTTTCTCTTTCAGTTTATTAAAGTCAAAATGTAATAGATGGCTGCCTAGAACCTCATCATCCTTTAAAAAGCACCAAGATGTCCCTAATAGTGGAGAAAATTGGAAGGAGAAAAAGACAGTTGCTTTTGAGTCACATATAGAAGACAATGGCAAATGGATGTGTCAACAAAAGGAAGCATGTGACCCGCCAAGAGGTAAGTTTAACATCTGTAGCACCAAAATGCTTGGGGAAGGTGATTGCTGGCGGTTGCCAGTGGCTGCTAGTCAGTGAATGCAAGATGATTTCTTCAAATGCTGAGCAGAATGTACGGTTGTGGACTGACTTTGCCTGAAAGGCCACAAGCAGAACATCTACTAGATTAGTGAAATGTGCCTGCATTTCTCTTAGAATGCTGATAAGAAGGCTCTATCCAGTTTCTTCCTCTTTTTACAAGCAGTGGACTCTTAAGAATCAAGCAGTAGTGCCAAGAAGATAGCTCAGTGAAATAAGTGCTTGCCTGGCAAGCGCAAGGTCCTAAATTTGATCCCTGGTACCACCAAAAAAAAAAAAAAAAAAAAAAAACTGTTTTTAGACAGGGTATCTCAGAGAATTTTCTTATTAAATAGAAAAAAGAATCAAGCAGTAAAGTAAGTATGGTTGTAGACAAAAATTAATGTCCAAATTGAGTAAAGATGAAAAAAAGTTGAACATAAATCTCTCCTGGGAAAGTAAACCCTAAGAACAGTTACTCCTCAATTAACTAGAAGCTTAGGGAAGAGGAAACCTGGCGAAGGGATCATGGACAACTCTACGTCGTTGTTAAAACAAAATGCAGGGGCTGGAGAGATGGCTCAGTGGTCTAAAGCACCTACTTGAAACAAGCTTGGCAAAGCACAGGGACCACGGTTTGATCCCCAGCACCACATGCCAGCCAGTTGCGCCCCCTGGTGGGCTGAGCTGGCCACACACAATAAATAAATGTAATAAATAAATAATTTTTTAAAAAATGCATAAATATGGAGCAATTACTGACTAGCAGTCTTTTAAGAGTGCCAGTAATGCTTTCTATTTTATGTGATAGATTTTTAAAAGAAATCTATTATAAATAACTGACATGTTGAGTGTAGGAAGTTTGTGTTTCCTAGTTACTAATTTGGTGGCCCTAGACCACCATAATCTTTCCTATCAGAATTAAAAGAGGGACTTTGGAAGGGAATGAGTCTCACAGTACGGAAGAGCTGTATAGGAAACAAAGGATCAAAAAGATCTCTGAACCTTTCTGCTCATACCTCTTTAACCAGTGTCTTTTATTTACCTCTGCTTTGTGCCAGACTACTATTTTTCCACACAGAGCTAACTTTAGCTGCTCTTATTGATTAAGAATAAGGCAGTGCCTTATGAGATTTTTTTTTTGAGACCGTCTCATTATGCAATTCAGGCTGGCCTATGCTCACTTTTGTAGTCACCAGGCTGGTCTTGAACTCGCAGAGATCCTCCTGGCTCAACCTCCTGAGTGCTGGGATTACTGGTGTGAACCACCATGCCTGGTTTGTTGGTACCCACATCCGAGGTCAAGGCTGCAGGGCATGTGGGGCCAGGGATCAAACTCAGGCCCTTGTACTTGCCAGGTAGGTGCTTGTCATGTCTCTGAGATATCTCTCCTGCCCTTTATGAGATGTTCTTGCAAGTGACTCTATCCTTCCCTTTCCACTCCTGCTATCTTGTTTAGTTATGGGTTTTGTTCTAATTACAGTTAATCTAGAATTTGTTTAATCCTATCCTAGTTAAGTGAGATATGAAATCTACTCAGACTTCAGAAAGGTGACTTACAATTTCAAGTAAGAGCAAAGGATGGTTTGGTTTTGCTTTTGTTTTTTACTTAAAGCAAATGTTCTAGAGACCTTCATTACTTTAGAACAGCGTAGAAGCTTCTTAGACTTTCCTACCAAAAATAAAATTGAAATTGAACAGACCTACTATATGAGAAAGAATTTTGTTTACTTTCTCTTACAGTACTGTTTCAGAGATGGGAAACTCTTACTTCAGCTTTTCCTGTTCTTAGTCATTTTACTTTGGAGAATGGAGAACCAGCCAGAATTGGTCTGGTGATTACACCACAAGGCTTAACACAGTCTTCTGTTAACTTGTCAACAAATTGATGTTGTGTGTCAGCACTAAAATAAAATGGCAAAATGAGAAAAATATAGTGTAATAGCAAAAGGACAAATAACTTGTGTTATTGGTTAAGACCACAGCAACATTAGAAAGCAGCAGTAGAAAAGCACTTTGAGAACGGTATCATCCAGCAGCCTTGCTGTGGTGGAGGTTAATCTTTCCAGGGCCCAGCTATAGAAGCCAGAAGCCTGCAAAGGGCTTGTGTCCAAAAAAAATCAATTTCTAATTTGAAACAAAATCATTTTTGACTAACAGGAGTTCAGAACCCATTACTTTTTGCTGTACAGTCTGCTGACATTTCAGCACTTTCTGTTGTGCACAATGAATCCTAATAGTCATTTTATAATGTTGCTGTACCAATCAACTTAACAAAGAGAAGCTGTTGCAGTTCTGCAAAGTTTTTAGGAACAATTTTCACTCATAGTTTTACTTTTTGTTTTTAGTAGTTTCTATCTCTCAGTAGAAGAAAGGTTGTTGCATTTTGCTGGAAAAAATACAGAAAGCTTTTTCATATTTTTAAAATAGTTTTTATTTTTAGGTATCCACAGGAACTATTAACTTTTATTCTGTTAATAAAAAAGACTATCTTGTATTTTTTTCAATGTTCTAATATGAAGCCATTAACAAAATTATGGTCCACCTGGTCATTGAAGATTTCAGGTTGCCCTCTTAAGCTATTCCGCCTATTGCAGGGATGGTATATGCAGATTACTGTGCAGGGCAAAGTTACTGCGTTGGCCTTTGCTGTGGCATCCAACCAAATGGGAGACATAAACTTTCCAAATGTGCTACAGTGGATTTTGACGCCCTGTTTATCATAAGGCCAGTGACCTAGCACTAATTGCCCATGTTACACTGCTTGGTTTGACATCTCCTTAATTGCTTTCCCCTCTTTAGTATATCTGAATTTTTTAATATACATTTTTTCTGTTTTATATCCTTTGTTTCCTTTGTTCTTGTCCTTTAATCATTAAGTACTACGTAGGACATTTATTGCAGGGCCATTAATCTTTATTACCAGTCTCTCACTCCTTTACCTCTAGTATCCTCCTTAACCATTCTGCCAACTTTATTGATGTTAAACAGGTAAAGGAGGCCAGACTCATGACTCAAGAAACAACCTTGTGATCACAAAAACAATTCAGCATTGTCAGAATTGCACTTAAAATATATACCTTGATGTATCAGTGCTGAGGATATTACATTCCACTTGCTTTTATTGAGCTTGATGGAACAGAGAAATACTACTTGGGAAAATCTATACTTAGCTTAAGAACTTTTTAAAGGCACTCCATTTTCTATCCTTTTTTCCTGTTATGTAGCAGCAAGACATTCTCTCCCAGCTAGCCTAGAACCTCCCCTTCCTAAGCAATTACCTATGTCCTATTTTAAGAGGAAGCTGAGAGCATTTTCCCTGTACGCTGATGGACTAGCAATGGCTGCAGACACTGAGCACACATGTTCCAGAAGTAAAATGTTAGACCTCGGAGCTCGCCATTGTTCCTTACTAAATCAGGCTGCAAAGCCATTCCAAAGTACACTGCTACTTTTGGGACTACCTTCTGTTCACTCCTCTTTCATGGCTCTCTAAATTCCTATAAATCTTCAAGAAAGACCGACCCTAAAGTAATTTAGATTTAATTGGTTGTATTGATCATTCCCTGAATTTAGTCTCTGAGGTTTTCTTTTTTTTTAGGTTATATAATCTGATATAGCAACTGTCACTGGTTGAGTACCTCTGATGGGCCACCAACACTTTTATTATTTTACTGGAAGGGGATTATTGTAGACTGAATGAAATGAGGACTAGTCTCTGAACTGAAAGTGAGCCTCTCTTGCTTCTTAGGACCATTCATTTGTGTTTCCTTTGATAGTACCATCATAATCATCACTAATAGATATTTGATCATGAGAAAAAGTACCATAATGTATCACTTCTGATCAAGTGTGAAATAAGCGATTTGTTAAACTTGATGCCTTCATCAACAACACACAGAAGATAAGCATAGTAGGGAGCTGTGAATAAGCCAAAACATACAGAGTGAATTGTCCTGCTAAGTTTACTTAAAAAGAAAACAGAATTTGAATGTAAGAGTTGAATTTCTTTAAGAGTCGACATTGCTAACTATGGAATATTGTCACTTGAACTAGTTGTCTGTATTTACCATCCTCTACAATGGAAAGAAATATCTTAAAATACTATATGATTACATACTTATTAGATACGTTATCTCTTCTTTCAGGGGAATATGATCTCTATTGTATCCTGCACTCCTAAAACATTGCTTAACACATGGTGGTTATTCCTTATATATGCGTTAAATGAATTAACATAACATTACATACATTGATTTTTCTTTGTATGCCCTTGTCCCATTTCCCCAAAATAAGGACCTAATCAGTTAGACCTTTTGACCTTACTGCCTGCAGTGATTTAGTGACTTAAGCAAAATATATGCTTATCCCTTCAAAGTCCCTATGGTGATTGATTGCTAGTGTCAAAGAAAAAGCAGTTGAGTAGGGTCTTAATTACTTCTTTCAAGTACCCTATCTCCAAATACAATGACTTCCTAAAGAATATTGGGGGTTAGGGCTTTAACACATAAATAAGAGGTAGGGGTACAATTAAGTCCACAACAACTTTCTTTGTAATGTTTATGCATATTGCTCAGATCTAATTAGATCACCTGTTACATTGTAGAAAAAAATGTTACAGGCTTCTGTGCCTTGTTTCTGATCTCATAGGGTGGTCACACAGTTGTCCATACATCAAATAGGATTTTTAGCTGGAGTTTTTTCATAAAGAACCCTTTACCATGTTGAGAAATGTCCTTCCTAGTTTTCTGAGAGTTTGAATAAATGCATGCTGAGAGTCATCAAATCTTTTATTAATTAATAAAATTAATTTATTAATCTACTAAGATGATCTTGTATTTTCTCTTTTGCTAGTTTGGTGATTATAAAAATTGTGAGATATTGGGGTACAATGTCTATTTTTGTGTAATGAATTTGTCAGGTTTTGATACCAGAAGTATTTTC